GTGTTAAAAACTGATTTAAACCGTTTATAATGATTTAATCCTAGTGGTCGTATTAGAGACCTGAACAGTTGGCACTTTGTAACTTTTGACAGGCCCTCCGATCTTAAATGCGTAATCAGACCATAATACACCCTATTTATCAGGTGCATGCTCGATGGCAGTGATGTCCATAACGTCGATCGCGAAGCCATTTTGAGTCGATCGAAAACAAAACCCTGAATCTGAAATATCTATATCTGAGCCTCAGAGCCAAGAAAGGAAGGTTAGTTTTAAAATGTAAAAAAAGATTTTAAACCCTTCGGTTGATCTTGGCAAGACATTTATATAAAAAGTCGATCTTTGTCAAAAATTAGTGGACACCACTGCTCTATGGTCATTAATGAGACCAAATACGCGAAGAGTTGCACACGTTCAAAGCTTTTTTGTTTTGCATCTGTCGTATTGTTTTTACTTGGTTTACCTTTTTCTTACTCTGGTTTACCACAAGAGGTATCTTGTGATCCCTGTTATGTTAACTTGTATGAACAGGATACATGATATAGAGGGTCACCCTGTCGTAGACCCTTATTTATTTCCAATAATTGCGTTGTTTTATCTGTATTCTAATCACACACTCCACCTTGAGCATTATACCATTGCTATGTATAGATATACTATAATGATACTATCATAGGTGCTATTTCCTTGTCGTTTCCAGTACCTGCCTAAGGACGAATATTTGGTCAGTGGTTGATTTTTGACAGAAACCGTACTGATTGTTGCTTATCACCTGTTCAGCGTATCAATTCATTCACATATAAGCTGGATAGTAGTTTGTATGCAGAGTTCAGGAGCATGATAGTTATGTAATTAACACATTGAAGATAGTCGCCCTTTTTATGTATCGGTACTATAATTCCTAGATTCCATGCTAGAGGAAGTAGCTTTCTTTGCCAGTTGCCGTAAGGCAGCCCTGATTCGAATACCCTAATTCAGTGGTATTCAAACATTTTGGCTGCATGACCCCAAATGGTACACAGAGGTGACATGCTGACCCAAACTTAAAATAATTTAATTCTAGTTGTTCCAAAAATTGGGAGAGGTATTATTATATCAATATATTATGCTATATTTTGCTATAGTTCATTTGTTTTCTATTATACCTGTGAAATTGTTGTAAAGTTGGCAAAATTAACAGGGAGTTTTGTTTTATCATATTTTGAAATAGATATGTAACACTGACATTTGAGTTTTCGTTATTCAAAAAGAAAAGGTGCATAAAAAATGTTGTGGGGTGTTTATTTGCCATATATTTACCTAAAAAAGGTGTTTTGTTCTATTTAATTACCTTGTAGTACGTTTTTACAATAAATATGTATTTCGTTAAAATCGTATTAATCTAAAAATTTATTAGTGTTTTAACCTTAACTATTTAGTCACTGAAAATGTTACTAAAAATCAGGAAAACAACATAAATTTTATAAGGGTCTTAGATAATACCAACAAAACCCTAAAAAATTTACATTGACAAGTATTATAGAAAAAAAACGAACTATATTTATAAAAGAAAAGCTATTTATTAGTTTTAAAAAAAATAGTGTACAGTCAAAACTTCAACATAACAATAAAAATGTAAACTAAAATTAGAAATAAAAATCAATTTCGCAAGTCTTCATTGCTACTTGATAACAATCGTGCACGTTTATTACGGACTTGACCAAAAGCGCTATCATCAGCATCATCAGTAGATATGTCTAGCACAACTGTCGGATTTAATTCAAATGAAGAATTTCTTTCGTTATTAACGGTCTCTGTTATTTTTTTTTGTAGTTGTGAAGTCGGTTATTAGCTGCTGTTTTTTTGGTTTCTCAATATGGTTATATAATTCTTCATATCCAGCTACACATAACTTAAGACTACGTTGAAATTTCAATGCACGCTCCATGTCAGGATCATGAGTAAAAAAATGTAGTTCCATACTTGTAGCAAATTTCAAGCCATCGCGAATTAAATCAGCCGTTAATAGCTGAACTTCATCTTCTATCTTGTCATTATCGATTTCTTTATTTTCACAAATTGTCATAAATTCGATNAATTATTCTCCTTGCAGTATGAGCACCACAAATCTATTTTTTTTGTAAAGGCTTTAATTTTATCATTGGCCACTAATATATTTAATTGTTCACCTTGAAGACTTAAATTCAACTCGTTTAATTTGAGAAAAATGTCACTTAAGTAAGCTAACCTACATAGCCATTCTTCATCGGTTAAAAAGTTTGTAAATTTTTTGTCTTTATCATTATCATTTAAAAACACAAACACTTCTTCTTTAAGTTCAAATAGTCTCGTTAGAACCCTACCCCTCAAAAGCCAACGAACCTCTGTATGTAAAAGAAGATGCTGATGCTCACTACCCATTTCTTTGCATATGTGCGCAAAAATCCTTGAGTTCAGAGGACGCGCCTTTATAAAATTTATTATTTTAACTCCAGTATCTAAGACAGACATTAAGTTCGGTGGCATGTTTTTCGATACAAGCACTTCTCTATGAATCATACAGTGAACCCATGTTACATTGGGTGAAACTTCTTCGATTCGGGCTAGAAGTCCACTGTGTTTTCCAACCATGGCACGAGCTCCATCACTGCACACACCCACACAATTTTCCCAAGAAATATTGTTTCCCGTGATGTAAGAGTTTACCGATTTAAAAATTTCTTCACCCGTAGTTTTTTGTAGTTCCTTGCAAAAAAGAAAGTCGTCAACTAATTTCATTTTTGTATTCATATTTTGCTAATTTGTTTTAGTTGTGCAGCATTTTGGCAATCTGTAGATTCATCCAATTGAAGACTAAAAAATTTACTTTTTTGAATTCTCATTATAATTTCGTTTCCCACATTTTCTGCCATTTCAAATATTCTGCGGCTAACTGTTGTATCCGAGTGGTATTTGAGATATTTGTTGCATTTCCTTTTCGCCAAACATAATGGCTGCTATATCTTGGGCTGCTGGAGCAATTAAGTCTCCAGCAATTGTGTACGGTTTGCCAGATTTTGCTATACGATAGATCACTCAATATGAAGCCTCCAATGCTTTTTTGTTAACGTCGATAAAAGTAGTCATAAAATTTTGTTTACATTTCAAATTTCTGAAAAAATTCAACGGGTTTACGTATGGGTGTTTCGTGTGTAGGTGTCTCTGCAGTTTATTTGGTTTCAGTGACTCGTTTGACAGCACTGTCAGACACATTACACATCTAGCCCTTGGTTCATCATCTTCAGTACATACGAAACCATATTTTATAAACTCATCATCGAACTTACGAACCCGTTTGTTTGCTTTTACTTCTTTATTTGTCGACGCTGAGGAAACAGAAGCTTCAGCACGTATTTGGTCCGTGTTTCCGTGTCTTCTCCATATTTGTTTCTCCATTGTCTGTTTTATCAACTATTTTACCAGTTTTTAGCCACTTATCCATGATTTTGTAATTTGTATGTTAAGTTGTCCGTTTATTACAAGTACTAATTGTAAGTTAAACACGAAATTTTATTGCTAAATAACAACTACACTCGCAAATGCACCACGCTGAACTTGTTTGCCAAGTCATGTGATTCCCCGAAAACGAATTACTGCCGGCCCAAAGTAGATTGGCCTGTGAAGGTCAGATGCGCAGTGGCAAACGGTTGAACCGTCTCTCTCTTTAACGATTAACCGTCGCACTCCCACTTCGGCGCAGTAGTGACCTTCACAGGCCAATCTACTTTGGGTCGGCTGTACGCGACGTCGTTCCATATACAGGGTGCGAGAAGTCAGTTAACCGATATTAATAAAAAAATATGAAATTGCATTAAAATGTTTGTACTTATTAAATTAAATGAATAAAAAGGATTAAATTTGACTAAATTTACAATAAATTACTGATTATTAATTAATTATCTATAAATTATTAATAGCAGTTAACTGACTTTTCCCACACCGTATATAGTTCGTTCAAAATTTGTTGATTTTAAAATTACAGTAATTTATCAAAAATTTAAAATGAAATTATACGTTTTAGAAACTAATATTTTTTCCCAAATAAGTTGGAAATGATGTATGTGTATGTATTCTACTAAATTTATTTGGAATTATTTCATCCACCTTGCGACCCCGAAAAAACTTTTCGCGACCCCATTTTGGGTCGCGACCCATAGTTTGAATACCACTGCCCTAATTCATATTCCAAGAAATCAAAGTCCTTAAACTCCGAATTTTGCCGTTGCGTCATCTCTTCTAGATCTACCGCTAAGATCATTATTAGCTCTCGACATTTTTTCGATGCTTGAGGCAATACTCGATTGTCGGTGCAAGATCACCTTCCTTGGTTAGTTCAGCGTTTATTCCGTCCGGTCCCGGAACTTTGCTGTTTGTCATTTTCTTTATTGCCATTACTACTTCGTTGGGTGGTTATGTTTCCCTTCAGTCCGTTTGATCTAGTGGGATTACTCTCGTCCTCCTTGTCATCTACAAGATTTCAGCCACTGTGGCATTATCTTGTTCCGACAAAATAGTTCCTTTTTCATCCTTACACATTATTATTTTTAGTTTAAATTTCCTTCGGCTACTATTTATTTTCTGGTAGAATTTTCTGCTTTCTGATTGGCTCCTGAGAATTTTCATTTCCTGAATTTCTTATTCAAGCACCCTCTTCTTCCTTCTATGCGTTCACTATTTTATTTACCGAAATGACTATACTCATCTTCTTTTTTTTTGATCCTGCGTTGTTGCATTTTCCTATTGGTTCACACTCTTCGTCAAACCTTGCTGTTCCGACTTTCTTTGGTTTCTCTCTCCCTAAGGACTCTTCTGCCGCTTCTAGTACAAACTGTAGCCTAAGATAAAATGGTTTGCGGGCGAGGATGCTGTGATGATAGGCAGCCAATATTACACAGGTCACGTGGGTTACAATAATTGTGTATATAATTTTTTGATTTCAATTTCAACACATCAGCGATATATTTTTAATAACTTTATTTTTTTAGACCATCTTAAATGAACTCCTACTAAATTTTTACGATAAAAAAGAACGCGTACTCCACGCATTACTTTTATTAATGAAAGAAGACACGGATGGTCAAAAATTAACAATTTCCCAAATTCCAGATTATCTTCAACCCAGATTCTTGGGTGTTCTTCAATATTTCGACACCAAATTGTTTAGCAATAAACAAGTCCTATTAAGTTTACCAAAAATTTTTGAATTAATGGGTCCAAAACGTATCGTACCATTTAGATTAAAAATTATTGCCATGTTACGTACGGCTTTAAGCTTAAATTACGGTGATTATCCCGCGTTAAGTTGTAACGTTTGGGATAGTTTTATAAGAAGTTGCGAAGTAGAATCGTTGGGTACTCAATTAGCAACAATTTTCGTTTCGTTAATCCCATTAAATGATACTTATCCAAAAATAAATGAGATATTTCGATATTTAATTATTGAAAATGAAGAGTTATTAAAAGGGTATATTTCCGATTTATTTTTTGCATTGGATTATGATATCGACGAAGAAATAAAATTTGTTATTAAAAAATATTCCAAGATATTAGAAAGTAATGATTTTGAAGATCAAATGAAGGTTTTTATGAAATATTTAACTCACGAAACTGATGAAGTCAAAGTACACGCTTTGAAGTATTTAAAAAAAATCATCGAAGAAAATCGGCAAAAATTGGATAACATGATTTTGGGCTATAACGGAATCAAACCGCATATTGTCGAATTACTTGACGCTTTAATGTCTCTAAGTCGTGAAAAAGAAGTTTCAGTTAAATTAGCTTGTAGTGAGTGTATCGGCGAACTTGGAGCTATCGAACCCAGTCATTTACCCAGAAAATATACCCAAGCCGAATCGTTTATATTTTACATAACCGAAGATGCGTTTATTTTTAATTCATTAAACGAATTAATAAGAACTTTGCAATCCGAAAAAAATACAACCGTTATGGATAGGTTCGCTTTAGCGATACAAGAGATTTTAAAAATATGCGAAATATCACCAAATCCGTCTAGTTCGAAACATTCATTGTGGAACAAATTTCCAGCATCCCATCAAGAATTAATCGCCCCATTTTTATCTTCAAAATATACAATGGGACAAATGTCAGACCCCGTTAATGTATCTCCGATTTATGGATCAAAATTAGGGGCAAATCTTCAATCATGGATATTTAAGTAAGTGTTTTATTTTATTGTTAAATTTAAAATCAGTCAAAAATTAATATAATAATGTTTCAAGCTTTAGTAACACTTTTAATAATATATGTAAATAAAAGAATCATTTAACATTTTAAAAATGTTTAAAATAATGTAATGCATTTAATTCTTCCATAAACTGGCTTAGCTTGGTGTTCTTTAAGAGCCATAACACGGTTTTATAAATTATTTTAGTTTTTGCTTTCAAATACGACGAAAAACACATACATCTATAAATCAATTAAGGTTGGAACAGGTTTAATGTTCTTGATGCTGTTAGAATGGTAGAGAAATTGTGGAATTAAGTTTCTTCAAAAACATTAAATTGAGGTTGGAAAAAAATTTGCCTAAACTTTACTGAATCACCTGAAACAACAAATTTATGATGTGTCCACCCAGCGTTGCCAACCTATGTCGACCAAATGTCAGAATGACTATCTTATGAGTTACACACGGGAGGTTGTATTTTGAAAAAATCGCGTACATCTGAAGACCCTTACAAAGTTACCTTGTTGAATGTATGATTAAGATTATTGTTTTTCGGGATCGAACCTATTGGCAAGTTGTTAATGGTAGCAGTTTAGAATCGGAGGATGTTACGAAAAACTTTTAAAATAACAGTTGTAGTAAATTTTATTCTTAACAATATTGCTCTCTTACACTTTTGCTCTTAGATGGGTCAATATCAAACAAAATACAAAAATATGAAAATTTGTTTCTTTTTCAAGTTATTAAAGATAACGCTTAGAAATCGGAGCGTGTTACAAAAAAACTTTTTCAATAAAAGTTGTAGCAAATTTTATTATTAAGAAATTGCTCTCTTGCACTTTTGCTCTTAGATGCGTCAATATCGAGATAGATACAAAATATGAAAATTTTATGAATTTGTTGCTTTTTCAAATTATTAAAGGTAACAGTTGAGAATAAGAAAACTTTTATATCAAAAATTGTAGCAAATTTTATTGTTAACAATATTACTTTCTTGCACTTTTGCTCTTAGATAAGTCTATATCGAGATAGATACGAAAATAGGAAAATTTTATGAATTTGTTGCTCTTTCAAGTTATTAAAGGTAACAATTGAGAATCGGAGCTTGCTATAACAAAACTTTTATAACAAAAATTGTAGCACATTTTATTGTTAAAAATATTGCTCTCTTGCACTTTTGCTCTTAGATACGTCAATATCGAGATAGATACGAAAATATGAAAATTTTATGAATTTGTTGCTCTTTCAAGTTATTAAAGGTAACACTTGAGAATCGGAGCTTGCTATAAGAAAACTTTTATAACAAAAATTGTTGCAAATTTTATTGTTAACAATATTGCTCTCTTGCACTTTTGCTCTTAGATACGTCAATATCGAGATAGATACGAAAATATGAAAATTTTATGAATTTGTTGCTCTTTCAAGATATTAAAGGTAACACTTGGGAATCGGAGCGTGCTAAAACAAAATCTTTTATAACAAAAATTGTTGCAAATTTCATTGTTAACAATATTGCTCTCTTGCACTTTAGCTCTTAGATACGTCAATATCGAGAGAGATACGAAAATATGAAAATTTTATGAATTTGTTGCTCTTTTAAGTTATTAAAGGTAACATTTGAGAACCGGAGCTTGCGATAAGAAAACTTTTATAACAAAAATTGATGCAAATTTTATTGTTAACAATATTGCTCTCTTGCATTTCTGCTCTTAAATGCGTCAATATCGAGATAGATACGAAAATATAAAAATTTTATGAATTTGTTGCTCTTTCAAGTTATTAACGGTAATGCTTGAGAATCGGGGCTTACTATAAGAAATCTTTTATAACAAAAATTGTCGCAAATTTTATTGTTAATAATATTGTTCTCTCGCACTTTTGCTCTTAGATACGTCAATATCGAGATAGATACGAAAATATAAAAATTTGATGACTTTGTTGCTTTTTCAAGTTATTAAAGGTAACACTTGGGAATCCAAGCTTGCTATAAGAAAACTTGTAAAGGGTCTTTCATTAAGGACTTCTGAACTTTGACAATTGCTAGCAGCCATATTACTGAACCTTCATCTGTCAGATTGGCTGTGATTTATTCAGTCTGTTTTGCCAAATCATTATGGACAAATATAGCGTTCAACAATACGTGCAAATAATAAAATTGTTTTATCAAAATAACTGTTCTGTTCGGGCAACGTTCCGCGCGCTTCGCCCATTTTACGGTCGTCATAATCGTCCTACCGAGAGGACTATTCGCAGTGTGGTTAATAAATTTGAGGCTAGTGGTTCAGTAAATAAGGAACCAACACCTGTACGACGACGAAACGCAAGATCTGCCGAAAACATCAGCGCTGTCCGTGAGAGTGTGCAGGAGAATCCAAGGCAGTCGATTTCGCGTCGCTCACAACAACTCGGCCTTTCGCAGACCACAACTTGGCGAATTTTGCGTCGTGACATGAGCCTGCACCCATACAAAATTCAACTGACCCAGGAGTTGAAGGTAAACGACCATAGACAACGACGTGTGTTCGCTGAATGGGCACTGGAGCAATTGGAAACTGACTCTAATTTTCACAAAAAAGTCATCTTCAACGATGAGGCCCATTTCTGCAAGAATGGGTACGTCAATAAACAAAATTGCCGAATTTGGGACAATACCAATCCTCATGAGATCCAGGAGCGTTCAATGCATCCCGAAAAAGTCACTGTTTGGTGTGGATTTTGGGCTGGCGGCGTCATCGGTCCATATTTCTTTCAGAACGACGTTGGCCAAGCCATCACCGTCAACGGCGAACGCTATAGGGCGATGATTACGAACTCCTTTTGGCCTGCATTGGCTGATATGGACATCAATAACATGTGGTTTCAACAGGACGGCGCTACGTGCCACACAGCTCATGCCACATTGGACGTTCTGCACGAACAATTTCAGAGAAGGGTCATATCACGTG